ATAAATAAATAAATAAATAAATAAATAAATAAATAAATAAATAAATATTTGCTACCTGAAATCTTAAAAAAACAAAATACAGTAATCTACTTTTCATATATTTGGATACGTTCTGCATGTTTATTATGGGTGAATACAATGTTGTCATTTCGCTAATATAGGCAGTCCTTGCTAGCTTTTTGGCTAGAATGATAACAAACACAATCTTTTCTGAAACTCGGAAAGGCCGGCCTCTCTATCCTTCAGAAACGTCATGTTTGCCAGCTTTCTTGCCAGGAATACAATGTTTCTGAAGGGTAGAAAGACAAACATGCTGCAACTATTCTGAAGGTGTAGCCAGACAGTTAGGAAACGGGATGTTTCTGAAGGCTAGAAGGAGGGTCTTCACAGCCTTCAGAACAATCACTGGAAAAAGTACCAGCCTATTCCTACCCTTCAAAAACAGCACGGTCACTAGCTTTCTAGTCTAGCAAACATGATGTTTCTAAACGTTAGAAAGGCTCTTTCCAGCTTTTATAGCCTTCAGAAACATGTTCACTAGCTGTCTGATGAGACTCGCATTGGCTTGGCACACCTGACAGTATCTTCGCAAAAAGGCAAAGGAAAGTGGATCTGGGTATGGTGGGTTGGGAGAAGTGGGCAGGCTGAGGCCTCCAGGGTTGCAACAATTTTGTGTGCGCTAGTGGACCAAATGCGCCACTGAGATGAGGGAGAGATAGGTGAGTGGGGGGAAGGGGTTTGCAGCAGTCATAGGGATAGTTTGTGCTAAAATTTTGCTAACATGGTCACAGGGCACTGCAACTGCTGTATCTTCTATCAGGGAATGTTTATAATTTCAAATGATCACTGAACGAATGGTCTTAAGTTGCGGACTACCTTCTTTTTTTTAATGGATCATGACTCTATCCAATCTTCATAGATTTCCATTTTCTTTAGTTCACTCCATTCAGGAGGGCCTTGGTAAAGTAAATGGACAGTGGAAGGGAAGGAAATGGGGGGGGAGGGAAACCCTGCTTCTGCTAACCCCTTTTTGTCATGCTGACACTGGATTTATATAATATTAAATCTGTCCTCTGTACTCTCTCCAAATGTAAGACTTCTTTTTCTCATGCAAATGTTAGTGAAGGCCGCTTCCACAATCGTATTAAATGGCCAACAGGGAAGAACCTTCTCTGTGTGATTCCCAGTTTTGTATCTCAATGCATTTGCTCTGTTCTTTCACTAGTCCATCATTAAAAATGACCCTATCTAAAAAACCCACCTATTGATGCATTGAATAATCTGCAAACAATTTATGGCTGGAAAATGGTCTATTTTACTTTTCTTCCTCTGCCTACTTAATGCTATTGTGCATCTTGCAATATAATGACTGTCAAAGTGTCTGACCTGGAGGGTTATAAATCTCAAAAATAAGCAAGGCATGCATTACATTCATAACTAATTTGAAATGGGATAAAAATTCAATGCTGAGGAGACTATTATCAAATTGAGTAAAAACCAGGAAACTATTCATTTAATACCGTATTTTCAGGAAGTTACAAAAACAAGGCCAAACATCTTTTTTGCTCAATCTAGTTTTCTTTGTATCCACATTGTAGTTAATTGAGCAATGTAGGCCTTTTAGAAATTGCCCAACTGAAAAACAACCCACACATTTTATGGCTGTTAGTGTGTGATGTTAGTGTGCTTCCTATTTCTCCACTTTTGCCCTCTTTTTTAATGTTTAATTATTTACCTTCAATGAAAGCTGCTATTTGTTGGCTTTTTTGAGAAGGAAGTTCTCTGACAATCTCCAAAGCAGTCAAGCCTCTGTTATCCTTTATATTCACATCAATGCCTTCAACACAGAGAGAAACTTGACATTATACACAGTAATTCAGAAATGTTGCATATACTCACACAGCAAAATGTGTTACAAATGTAATTTGGCCTTAATCACTTCCTCCTCCTAAATATACACTTTGGCCCTACATTTATGTTCATTAATTATTATTATTGCTTAAAGCTGACCTTATGCTATATGAAGGCCCTTAATATTAGAAGAAGATTTTAATTTGAGAAGTGCTTTTATTTTCATTATATTTTATTTTAATATAATTTTAAGACAAGTTTATTTTATTGTATTTTTAATAAGAAGCTGATAAGCCTATACTCAAATGAAGCAGAATAGGAATACTTAAAATAATAAAGCAATACATATATGTTAAATTATATTTTACAATTCAATTGTGATGAAAGCAAATAATAACTTCAGAAGGGCAATACCTCCTGATCTCCAAAATCAAATTAGAGGCTTTAGCAATTCCTGCTTAGCTCTTGTTAATTATCCTAGTTTATACTAAAAATGTCATGAGGCTTTAGTTTGAAGGAGCAGTTTAAAAAGGAGGGTGAAAGATTCAAATTAAATTATACTGCTCATTTTCAAGAACTATGCTTAAGGCTATTGAATGCTTACAACGCTAAGACTACCACCAAAAAAGGAAATCCAAAAATATGTTTAAAAGATCCTTACCTGCAGCTAGCAATATCTGTACCACATCTGTTTTGCCAAACAAAGCAGCTTCATGTAAAGCACTGCCTTTTTCTGTCTGTAAAACAAGCATGGATTGAGAATGCCATCAGAAAACAATAAAACAGAAGCTATTTGTTGCCATTTATTCCAATATAAATATCAGCTTCTTTAAAAATACAGGCTGATCACTTTAATAAATCAATAAGAAATTACGACTAATAAAAAACCCTCTGTATTTCCCTTTGAATTTGAAACAAAAGAGACAATATCCAGTTGAAAATATAGGATTCAAGCACCACAAATTCTCTAGCTGACAATTAGCTGCTGTACTTGAAACAATTTCAAAGCATAATTCTATTAAATTTCAAACTTAAACAGTGAAGCAGTGATTAGAAAAGTTCTTATAGAACAGGGAGCTGTGTTATACGCAATCTGATCCTGAAACATTATTTTAATATTGAAACTCTGCACACACAAATTTAAACAAATACCTGGTAGTTGTTATCCATGCCAGCCTCCAGCAGTACATGAACAACAGCTTTATGGCCATTTCTAGCTGCGAGATGTAAGGGAGTGTGTTTCTTAGTATTGCAACTTAATAGATTGGGATGAGCATTAAGCAACATCTTCACAACCTCTAGTCTCCCATAGAGAGCAGCTAAATCAAGAGGAGTCTCAAATTTGTTATTGCGCATAGTAGGATCAGTCAACTCCTCCAGAAGAACCTTCACCACTTCAGTATGGCCATACTGAGCTGCACAGTGCAATGCTGTCTCGTTGTCGTTATTCTAAGATTACATAAATATAAAAACCATTAGAGTTTAGAGACAATTATAATAAACAGAACATTTGTTTTAAACATGAAGTATTAAAACTCTTCCAAATTATTTTCCACTATGCATGCTTAATAAGTACATCATGGTATCATTGTTATTTATATGTGCACCCATTCAGATATTTGCTACAGAAAAAAAATATGAAATATCTATTATTGCATTTTGAGATTATTACTTCTACTGCTCTATGATGTTCTCCACTTTAAAAACTCACCAAGCATTACTTATCCATTCAATAGAAGTTACTATAATAATCACAAAGGTACATTTTGCAAACCAACAACTTGATAATAAATATAGTATTTCATGACTGTGTTCTTTCTCTCTGGAGAATTCACGTTTTATTAATTAATCTGACATTATGTTGTTATTATATTTTAATTTTATACAAAGGGCCGCTACTATCAGGAAACTCTGACTAATATTATCAACTTATGGAAACTATCTGTTAAGAAACAGCTCTTTCATGTGACCAAATGCTTTTTTGAAATTGGACTTCATAAGTAATATCGGGAAGTCATTTAAGTATAAAATATCAATGAGTTAAATCATAAGTGTAAAACTAAGAACTTTAAGATTCTAGCTGATATGTAAATAAACACAATTTTTTTCCTAACTGTGTCTTTTAAACATTTAAATGGTATATGTGAGTGTGTCTGTGTGTGTCTGGGTATGTGTGTGTGATTATAATGGATAAATGTACATAAACAAAACCCTGGCTTCAACAGAAATTTTTCAATTGTTAAAAAGAAAACAAATAAGAACTTTAAAAGTTGTACTGTACTGGACAAAATATAATAGAGGTATGTTTGTGATTTATTTTTGTTCTAGCGGTATCAACAATGTTCAATGTCTCATGGGTACATGACAAAACTGGCTGAAGCAGAAAGGAAATAGATGAAGTAGTCAAGAATACTTTACAAAAAATACATGGAATGTATAAATGAAAGTTACTATGAACAATGACAGACATGCACAAACATATGAAAAATTGAAGAGGACACTTCCAACAATGGCAAAGAAACAATTCAAGCCAAACATTTGCCAAGAAAAAACAGATTCATAGCGAAGGTGATTCTAAATGAGGCAATGCATCATTCAGCAGCATGCAGAGAATCTCACCATGATTAGAGGAGAAAGCATATGGTTCAGGATTTATAATTAAGATGTAGGGTTTAATGAAAGATAATGAAGAACTGTGGTATCTCCTAGCCACATTATATTACAAATGATACATAATGTACCATATCAGTAAACATCAGGGGGGAAAAACATCACTTGGACTAAAAATAGTTCTTGGCTAAATTGGGCTCAAATCCTAGGGACAGAGTTTTGGCCAGAGTACAGAAGTATTTGCCTTCGTCCAAGATTTTTTTTCCAGTTGCACAGTCTAACCTACAGCCTTACTATTACCTGACCCATTGTTATCCCAGCAATAACTAGACCTACCGCTGCTTTTCTTGCGGGAGAAACAAGGCCAACCTTTTTACAAAAAAAAGAGTAATATCTTATTGTCGTCATCAAACATTCATTTGCCTGAAGGTAAGTACTTCTGAAATGCAAAATTTTATAAATCCTTATAAAACCCATGTTTGATTTCAAGTTTGTGGCAATAATTATTTTTATTTATTCTATTCTAATAGTTTGGATGCCACTTTTCAAAACCAGTGCAATGTGCAGCTATTCAAATCCAGCTATGCATCCAAATAGCTGCACATATGACATAACTTAAATCTGAAGAATCATTAGAAAATAGGATGAAATTGCTACTCTTTAAGAGGATGGGCCGGAGTGTTCCCCGATTCTTTCAAAAGCTTTAGCATATTAATGTAAAAATCTTACAGCCCAACTGAGATTTCTCAAAAGCAAGCCTTTTTGAAATTGCCCGAGATTGATTTCTGTAATTCTTAAGAGAAAATGAGAAAAGAAATGGTAGCATCATCTCAAAGTCAAAATAGTGGTCTGCAGCTTAAACAATTCATCTTTTGCCCACTGATCCATTTATCTTGAAGACTAAGGAATGCTTTTCATGGATATATGAACTAACAGTTGCCAATATATACTTGATTTGCAATTAGTACAGTACAAAACTCATAATTTGTATGTAAAAGCATTAAATATTAAACAGAAGTCCATAAAACTGAGACCTTAATCATAATTGGCAAGCCCAAAGAAATTTTATGAAGAAATAGTTGAGGAAAAGGATAAAGCAGCAACTTAAATTGAGGTAATATTTAACTATATTAACTCTAGAATTTTTTTTACAATTTTTAGGTATGATCATACAATGTTTTTATGTATCATGATTACTTTGTGCATTTTGTATTGAAAAACTGTTAAGTCGTTTTGAATATGCATACATTTAATCTCAGTAATTGGTGTATAGTGAGGCTTCTTCTGACAGTCAGGTCAAAGTACCTTTTAACTATAAACAAATGTACATATATAATTCAATTGGGAAAATGCACAAATATGTCTAATTAACAATTTGTCAAAGCCCACTATTTAACTATCATTCCTTACCTATACTGAAATGCCTGCCATCACAAAATTAAACATTCATAAGCATTTTTCCTAGTTTTTTGTGTGCCTTATAAGTAGTAGCTAAAACCTCTGTGTTTGTGGGCACAAGTCTTCGAGTCAGGATTGACTCTTGGTAACTGCCTGGACAATTCCCAGCAGTTTTGTTGATAAGATTTTAGAAATGATTTGCCATTGCCTACTTCCTAGGGTTGACAGAAAATAACTGGCCCAATGTCCCCAGATGGTCTTGGCACCTAAGGTGGGATGACAACTCACAGTCTTCCAGGTTCTAGCCTCACTCTATAGAGGAATATGCTTCTTGGACTGGATTAGTTTAAAACATTTGATTTTAATAATATTCATTCATTAAAAATAATACTAAGCTACAAAAGGCTTAGAAAATGGCCTTGTAGAAACATATTCATCTCACTTTCCTCTTCAGCATTTTTAAGATTTAAAATATATTTTATTTAAACAGACATTAATGCTCTCCTCCAGATTTCCAGAGGGATCTTGGCTTGGCGGAAACAAAACAATGAATAAGCCAGAGGTATGCACTCTTTTTCTATATTTTCACCATTCTGTTGCTGGTGTTTCTACTAAAGATTACAGAGAATAGAATGAGGGGCATTTTTGTGTACTTTTGGCATTTTAGGGTTTGATTTACAGTTGTGCTCATAAGTTTACATACCTTGGCAGAATTTATGATTTCTTGGCCATTTTTCAGAGTATATGAATAATAACACAAAATATTTTCTTTCACTCGTGGTTAGTAGTTGGCTGAAGCCATTTATTATCAATCAACTGTGTTTACTCTTTTTAAATCATAATGACAACAGAAACTACCCAAATGACCCTGGATCAAAAGTTTACATGCCCTGATGATTTTGGCCTGATAACATGCACACAGGTTGGCACAAAGGGGTTTGAACGGCTGTTAAACATAGCCATCCTCACCTGTGATCTGTTTGCTTGTAATTAGTATGTGTGTATAAAAAGATCAATGAGTTCCTGAACTCCTGACAGACCTTTGCATCTTTCATCCAGTGCTGCACTGACATTTCTAGCTTCTGAGTCATGGGGAAAGCAAAAGAATTGTCAAAGGATCTGCGGGAAAAGGTAGTTGAACTGTACATAATAGGAAAGGGATATAAAAAGACATCCAGGGAATTGAGAATGATAATCAGCAGTGTTCAAACATTAATCAAGAAGTGGAAAATGAGGGGTTCTGTTGAAACCAAACCATGGTCAGGTAGACCAACTAAAATTTCAGCCACAACTGCCAGGAAAATTGTTCGGGATGCAAAGAAAAACCCACAAATAAATTCAGGTGAAATACAGGACTCTCTGAAAACATGTGATCTGGCTATTTCAAGATGCACAATAAGGAGGCACTGGAAGAAAGATGGGCTGCATGGTCGAGTCGCCAGAAGAAAGCCATTACTACATAAATGCCACAAAGTATCCCGCTTACAATACGTCAAACAGCACAGAGACAAGCCTCAAACTTCTGGTATAAAGCCATTTGGAGTGATGAGACCAAAATTGAGCTTTTTGGCCCAACCATAAACGCTACATTTGGAGAGGAGTCAACATGGCCTATGATGAAAAGTACACCATTCCTACTGTGAAACACGGAGGTGGATCAGTGATGTGTAAGCTACAAAGGCACAGGAAATTTGGTCAGAATTGATGGCAAGATGAATGCATTATGTTATCAAAAGATACTGGAGGAAAATTTGCATTCACCAGCCCAGAAGCTGCGCATGGGTCGTATTGGACATTCCAACATGACAATGATCCTAAACACAAGACCAAGTCAACCTGTCATTGGCACAAATAAAGTGAAGGTTCTGGAGTGGTCATCTCAGTCTCCTGACCTCAATATCATTGAGTCACACTGGGGAGATCTCAAATGTGCAGTTCATGCAAGACAGCCCAAGAATTTACAGGAACTGGAGGCTTTTTGCCAGGAAGAATGGGCAGCTTTACCATATGAGAAGATAAAGAGCCTCATCCACACATACCACAAAAGACTTCAAGTTGTCATTGATGTTAAAGGGGGCAATACACCGTATTAAAAACTAGGGTATGTAAACTTTTGATCGGGTCATTTGGGTAGTTTCTGTTGTCATTATGATTTAAAAAGAGTAAACACGGTTGACTGATAATAAATGGCAATCACAAATTTCATAAATTTCCTAGCTAAATATAGACACACATTCTGCAATAAAAATCCATTATGAAAAAGCGATTATACTACTTCGTTTAGGTGAAAATATTTCAACTGTTATTGTAAAGAAATTATATGAATTATAAAAAAAAAAACCACAATTCAATCAATTATTTAAATTGGTAGTTTTCTACAGTGATTTTAAAAACATTAAATTTCTGATTTAAATGTCTAAGCACCAATTTCAGCATTCGCCATTGGGTTGATCTATTTTATAGACTCCATAGTACAGAGACAGAATATGTCAGCTTCTGAAACATCCTTAATGTCCTAAAACTGTCATATACATATAGGAAAAACTCAGCAAAAGCAGAGTGATGCTGTAATCCTCACCAAAACTTATACATTATGAATTTTAATAAGACTATCATTTATCATATCAAACATTAATGTTTACCCTACATTTACAGACTATATTCACTGTGATCTGAATTTATAAAAGCATGTAATTTAAACTAATTCACCCTATTTATCTCCAACTTTGATAATCTTAATATATTTAAAAACCATACTCATGGAGCCCAATTTGATTGACCTTAAAAATCATTATTTAAGCTGCTCCAATTTGATGGTCTAAAAATTAAAATAATAATGTATAACAAATATTTCTTTTGATATTTATTATAATAAGGAATCACTTAAGATACTTCTAAATATTAGATTAGATTATCTTTGAAGTAATTTAAGATTTTCAATATTTTAAGATTTGCTTTCCTTATGATTAGTAAAAAGTAGAAGAATAGGTTATATTCAGTAAAAGAAACATTCAGATGTGAACAAGGAACGAGTGAAATAAGAAAAAATGTACATACTTCCACACAGATGGATACATGAATACATCCACACAGACAATAAAGGCACTATTGTTCTCATACAAACACTAACAAAAATAGTTCTCTTTTGTGTTATGTAGCATCATCACTATTAGCAAAATGAAGTTCAATATTGCTAAGAATGCATATCTTTTTTGGACAGTATACCATAAACATAATCAGTATTATTCCCTTTCTTATTAAATAGAGAAACAATACCAGAGTGTTTTGAATTTATATTTTTGAATGCTATTATTGATTTGGGAATCAACAAGTACCCCAAATCTACCAAGTCAAAAACACTGGTAGACCTTGTCAAGCACCAAGTAAACTTTTACCAACCAGCCAAATCAAACATGGTTTAATAAAATTTCACATTAAAGAAATTGCATTTTCAGTCCTCCACGGCCATTCCCAAATAGGCAGTATCAATGAACTACATGACAAGGCTTCTGAAAGCACAAAAATACAACTTGAAGTAATGATATAGTGAAATCCTGTCAGCGAAGTACACACCTTGGCATTGATATAAGGGTCAAAGGGGCCGTACTTTTTGAGTTCTTTGATCTCAAGAGCATTCTACAAAAAGGAGAGGAAAAGAAAATGTGATGATGAAATGGCAGGATATAGTAAAAAAGCAGTGAGTGATTCTGAAGGGGAGAAATGATAGAACATGACAATATTTCATTCCAATGAAAAGCAATTAATTTAACTAGCCATTCCAGCTGTCAATAGTTGATCATGCATATTGTTTTAAAGACAACATGCAAAACTCAACTAAAAATCTTAAGTTCCCTATTTAAACACTTCACTTTGACATCTTACAAATATTTGGCCTCATGCTAGCTATAGATTACAAGATCTTTCATTTTCATATGGCCCCATCCAATTTATTAAATAATTGCAAATGGCATTATAAAATTTAAAATATTAACACTAAAATGATTGACAAAGTTGTTTCCGAGAAGCACAATAAACAATGTCTGACAAAAAAGATTTCCAAACAATATTAAAAACTTTTGAATGTATATATTTGGCTATTCAATTACAAAAATATTACTAGTCAGCAAATGAACTTCTTTGAATATTTGTAAGAGATTATGCTAAGCTACTTGTTAACACAGATAATTAGCCTCAAAGTCAGGGGTGTTTTATAGAGATGGAATTTTAACTTTAACTCTGAACAAGTTGTTCAGTCCTAGTTTGGTTGCAATTTGGCTAAAGTAGTAGTTTAATATGGATAATGCTTCCTATTGGAAGCGAATAATAATTTTGCTTCCCACAAGAAAAAATATTATGTAGACAAGACACCCCTGGGGGCTCATTCATGGTGATGCCGCTTCTGTGGTATAACATGTGGCTGGATACCCAATGTTCCTCAACATTAGTGGCCTTCCAAGGGGTTCTGAAAACTTTATTTTTTAGAAAATGCATTTGCAGAAGTGGAGGTTTAGCCTACCTCCATGGGTGTCACCTAATGTCTGTTAAATGTTTTATGTGATATAAGTTTTTGACCCTTTCTGTAAGCTACTTCAACCTCTGGAAATAGGAATTCAGCAGTGTAGACATAATAAATAAACAAATACATACATACAACTAAAATGCAAGTGAAATAATTTCATGGGAAAACTTACTAGTATTCCCAATGTTTCAATTTTTCAATATACCAGTCCCAGTTTAATTTGGAGCAATATTGTAAGAGTTTACCTGATCTCCAAATCAATACTAGCACTATGAGGTGTATTTGGCTATATTTGTACCCAATAAAGTTTTCAATCATACAAGTCAAACGGCAGCATTTTAAACAATAGAAACAATTACTGTTTTTCTTCCATTTGAGCATAGCATTTTAGTAAATTATTAATATCTGAAAGCTGTATTGTAGTTAACTGCACAATATTAGCTTAAGTAGTAAAGTAGTATTAAGCTTACTACAAAATGTGGCAAAAAGAGAATAAAACTGTTTAGATTTGCTTCACCAAAAAAATAAACTGATGCACCAACTACATCAAGTTTCAAATTGTCCAGAAAAATTGTGGTGCAGGATGGGGGTAGGGTATAGGAAAAATGATTAAAATCCCTCTCATTGTATATGAACCAATTTAGCCATTGTTCATTTCTACAGTTCTAAATCTGATCAACCAAAAATACAGCTTTCAGGATACAATTTTTCAAATTTGCTGAATAATAATAGTATTTAATCTTCAGCTGTTTCTCAAGCAAGATATCAAGCAACAAATTTACTCTTATAGATGTTGTATTCACTTCCTCCTAAAGAATATAACAAACCTTGTGAGATCATTAAGAGCACAAAAAGAGGAACGTATTCAGACCTGCTCATTTACTTTAGTGTGGGAGGGTCCCTGGTGTATTAGCAGTTTCACTATTTCAGCATCTCCCTTCCAAGCTGCCAAATGGAGAGGATAACAGCCTTTGCAGTCAGCCACATTCGTTAATGCATCATTTCTCAACAGAACTTCCACAACATCCCTGAGGACGGAATAATGCCATAAAATTTCAGAAGAATTCTGGATACAACAATCAAAATCAAATGGTAAATTGGATATATGCGTTAATAAAAAATATCAGTTTGTATACCATCTACTTGGAAAACATTTTCAAATTCAAATATTCACCAGGGTTCCTTAAGAACTAGAAAGTGAAAACAGCCTATTGTTCATCCACCAAAAGGAAATAAGACTGCCATCTACTAACTGGGAGATAACTTTCAACCTAGTTGATGAAATGTATCTATATAAACGGGCTTAGAATCAAGCATTAGGAACTGTCAAACTATTTAGTAAGGCTGTATTACTATTATTCTCATCTTTCCTATTACCTATCTCATTTTCTACTTATGACTATAACTTTGTTGCTTGTGTCTTTACGGTTTATGCTGGTTTTAGTTTCCTAGTATGATTTATGTTGATTTCCTATTAAGCATCCTATGACTATCACTAAGTGTTGTATCTTATGTATTTTATGAAGACTATGATCATGATTTATCACTTATAGTTTTTATGTACACTGAGAGCTTTTGCACCAATGACAAATACCTTGTGTGTCCAGTCACACTTGGCCAATAAAGAATTCTATTCTATTCTATTATTCAAACTATCTATAAGCAGACAAGTTTTTAAACCTACTTTGCAAGAATGAACATTTTTTCCCACGTATAAGTTAGATATATGATTTATTTGATTATTTTCTTAATAAATTAATATGGCTACCTGTCTAGCTAAAGGAACTTTGGGTGGTGAACAAGACTAAAAATACAATCACTGAGAACCATTAAAACAAAACAGACAATGCTATAAGACTCACATCCATAGATTAAACATATCATGCCAGACGCATTGTCATCCTAACCTTAGGGCCATGTCTTGATTGTTTTCTTAAGACCAGCAGGATTGGGGCATCCATATCTCTAAGAGGAAGCTATTCCTTAAGGCAGACATCATGACAGAGAAAGCACAATTCCAAAGCCCCACCTGGCAAGACTGTTTCACCAAGAAGCCCCAGATTTAAAGAGATGACTAGAAACCATTAGGGATAGGCAGTCCCACAAGTAACTTGCCCCTATGCCGTGTAGAGCTTTAAAGGTGATAATCAGCATTTTAAATTCAGCCAGAAGTCCACTGGAAGCCAATGCAGCTCATGCAGCATCAGTGTTACACAGATATTATTCCAGTACTGTCCCTCGTGCCCCTGCCATTGTATTCTGGACCAGCTGAAGTTTTCAAATGCTCTTGAAAAGGTAGCCCATGTAGAACACATTGGAAATGGGAGTCAGCAAAGGCATAAGCAATGATTCCTAATCTAGAAAAGGTTAAACCAGCACATAAAATACATTTGTGCAAAGGCTCTCCAGACTACAGTTGCCAACTACTATATATGCTGCCATTGAGTCCAAGTGGACCGGCAGTGTGTACCAACTCTGACCAGGAAAGTATAACCTTAGCCAGAATTAAATATGGCAAATCAACAGATATGGGGTAGCCCTAAAAAACTACAGGCATTCAGTCCTGTCGGGGTTGGGCTGAAGCCAGATCTTCTCTAGCCAGATTTATCCAGTAAGACATTTCCCCAGCACTACTTGGACCCTAGATGTATGATTGAGATCCATGCTGTAGAGAGTAAGAAAGATGATCTTGATGGAGGTATGCATGATCTGCTACCCAGGCAATGGGCTGGGTCTGTATGAGACATATTTTCAATCCACAACAGACAGATAGTATCTCAATATTATGGCTCAGACAGAGCTCCCCAAATTATTGAACTAGCAGAATGAGTTGCATGATTATGTTATTACAGCCAATTTCAAGAAAAGTAATTTTAGCTTTGTTCTGAAGTTGAACTTTTTAACTTGGTCTAGCTAATGGGTTGACAATTACCTCCCACAGAGGTTTCATGAAGATGATAAATAGAAGAGATAATTAAGCCCTGTAGCACCCTAAAAACAGAGGCCTAAAGACAGACCTCTCCTCCTCACACACCAACTGGAACCATCCCTGGAGAAAGGAGAACTACTGAAAAAACAAGATCTCCTACTTCCAACATTTCAGCCAGTCCCAAAGGATGCCATGATTGATGGTACTGAAAACCAATGAGAGGTCAAATGGATACAACCATCCCCATTCCAAGCCCACCAGATGTCATCCACAAGTGTGAACAATTGCATCTCAGTATAGTATCCCAGCCTGAAACCAAATTGTATCAGGTCCAGATAATTTGCTTCCCCTACAGCCCTTTCAAATTATAGACCTACCACTTCAATAGTCTCCCTCAAAAAGGGAACATTAGAGATTGAAAAAAAAAAATTGTCCAGTAGTAACTTCTTGAGAAGGGGCAAACCACTGTCTTCTTCAGGGGACATGGAACCACCCTGTATTATAAAAAAGCATTTACCACTAATTAGCTACATGTCACCTATCTATATCTGTCTGGATGCCTTGACCAATCAGGAGGGATAGAACCTAACATGTAGATAACAGAATCATCAACCTAAGGACTCTGTCCATTTCCTTGGAAGTAATCAAATCAAACTCAGCCCAAATAATTGGACAAGCCCAAGCCACAGTCATCTCTATAGGATCAGCACAAACAGACACTACCTTTGAAAGATTTGAGGCACTTTAATAGATGTTTTACATAATCTTCATAGCACACTTGCAAAGGTTCCTATGGTCCTTTCTTATCCTTATTAAAGCTTTTGATTTCACTGTTTCAGCATATTTTGTTTACTTGTATTTACTTGTAGAAACAACTGTATAAAGAAATTATCAGCAAAGATCACTGGTTTTTCGAATTAAAGGGTAACAAGCATGTAAGTAGCCAATGCTCATTCTTTCTCAAAGATGCAAATGAACTGCAAATTATGTTGATTACACAGCTGCAAGTGAACAGTTGTAGAGCCTGTTCTTCTAGACTGCTAATGTGTTGGGGAGGGAACAGAATCGGATAAAACAAAAAAAGAATAGCATGTCTAAGAGAACCTGTTTTAGTTTAGCTAATGATAGTGTTAAGTGGAGGAGAGGTAAACCTTAACAAAGTCTGAAAAAGAAACACTGAACTTACTGTTTATAAAAGGACACAGAGGATCCACAGCTACATTGTCTTTTTATTACTCTAGAAAAAGAATTTTTGTAGCCTCTAAATGGCAGTAAAGAGCAACTTCCCAGTCTACAATGTAAATTTACAATGTAAGGACTGAGAAGCATACTGATAACAGCTCTCCAGTATAGAATAGATATAGATGTGAAAGGCAAGTACTGTACTCTTCAGTCCCAGAGAAATAATTTGCTGCTCAGTTTAAAAAAAAAACCCTAAAGAACAACACATGTTCTTAAAAAGAGGAAAATCATGAAAGAGGAAAACTTCATTAAAATGTAACATTAAGTCTATTTTCCTATTGAGGATGGGAAGTATTACTTTTAGTTGGGAATTACTAAAGCAGTTCCAATATTTTCTGATTTCAGCAAAGTATTTGCTAAAACAGAACGAAGTGTTCTGATTAGCAAACTAGTTACATGTTGGCTGGCTAGAAGGGTATTTAAATGAATAGACTGCTGACTTGAAAACTCACATTGGGTGTTTGTTAATTGCTATTCATTAAGAAAAACCACAGTGAAAGTTAAGTGGGATGCTATAAGATTTAGGCCTTGGCCATGTATTCAACATCTTTATTAGGGACTTGAATGAAGTGCTACAGGAATGCTTGTCAAATGTGCAGATCACATAGCATTGCTTAGGATAACATAGAACAGTGGTCACCAACAAGTGGGCCAGGGACCACTGGTGGTTCGTGAGAAAATTTTGGTGATCCTCAGAGAAATGTCACCCCCCAAAGCATCTCCCAAAACAATTAATCCAGGCTGCGCAGGAACACAAAGCTGAGCCGCCCATATGGTCCGCAGGAACACAAGGCTTGTGTTGCTTGCATTGCGAACAACACGAGGTAGTGGGGGGGAACTTGCCCCACTCGCCCCACATGCCTTGCTTGGCCACCGGGCTGCTTCTTTCTTCTTTTGCTTTTGGCTGCATGCCAGGAAAACAGCAAAAGTCTTTCTTTCTCTCCCCCAAACTCCACCAAAAATGAGTCTTTGGGACCCTGCAGGGCATCCTGCTCTAAGAGGCCGCGCCAGCGCGACAAGTCTCACAAAGACTCATTTCTGGCAGAGTTTGGGGGGGGGGGAGAAAGAAAGACTACTGCTGCTTCTGCTGCTTTCCTTGCATGAAGCCAAAAGTCTCTCTCTCTCCTCCTGAGAATGGAGCTGGAGACGGTATCCTGCGATCCCAAATAAAGAATGAGCAATCGGTAGGAAAACAGGGTGGGGAATTTTCCTGCAGACTTTTTTGGGATTTTCCCAGGGTCTCTTATCCATGGGATTTAAAATTATGAGTTTGGTGGTCCCGGAGGTCCAAAAGGTTGGCGATCCCTGCCATAGAAGGCAGAACAGTAAAATAAACTTGAGAAATTAAGGTACTGACTAATGACATAAGATTAAACTTTAAGAGAAAAAAGTGGAGAACAGAGATAGATGCACAGATTTAAAATTGGGTAGCAAAGTAATTAAAGAAATTTTAGGATTTTAGAAAAACCTGTGTTAAATCATGTAAGCTAAATATTATAATAATTTATTAAATATATACGTCACCTAACTGTCAGTGTCTCTGGGCTGCAGAAGTAACAGCTACATTTCAACATTTGTCACCCACTATAACCAATGTATAACAAACATGAGAAAATTAATCTTGAAAATTCTTTTGCCTCTCCTCTTTAAAGAAAAGCTTTCTGAATTGATGAAGATGAACTGAGAAACTGTAGTTACTCTGTATGATCATGCACATGCATGTATGCTATGATACTCAATTTTATATCTCCATCCCTGGTGATCCAAGTGATGCTGTTGCTGCTCTCTTGCGGTGCCTAGAGGCAGTGGGGGCCTCAATGGGGACAACAATCTTCAGCTGAACCCTGGCAGGACCGAATTGCTTTGGGTTTTCAGAGCTTCAAGATTTGGGACTTTAATTAATTCTGGATAGGCTTGCACTACCCCAGAGGAACCTGATCCGCAACTCGGGGTTTTTCATACACTCATGTCTCCTGCTCAAAGAGGTGGTGGCAGTCACATCTAGAATACCAAAATATCAACATCTCTCAATAAACCCATTTACAATAATATGGCATAGTGCACTGCATATAATCCTGATGATAGTTGAATTCTACTACTTATGGTATTTGAAGGAAGTGTTTGGAAAATGCTACAGGGTTTATTAGTTTTAGCTACTTTAATAGGCTGGTTGTTTAAAAAGTTATTTCAGACACAGGAAACTTACTTGTGCCCATTCAAAGCAGCATGATGCAATGGAGTGTATCCAGTACTGTCAACACAGTTCACATTTGGTCCTCTCCAGATACTGTAAAGCAAAAGTAAATAAATAAATGTTATACATTAAGACACAAAGTATAGTCAGTAAACAGTACCAGGCTGAGGCAGGTTTCCTGTGAACAATACTAAAAAAGCATATTCTGTAATCACAATCTAAGACACAGTATTAACTTGCTACCATCTTAAACAAAGAAAAACTGGTGATCACATAAACAGATGGATTATCCTGATTATATAATCAGTATTTTATTACTGTTTCAATTGTTATTATTATATGTGTAGTAACACTCATCAGGCAATATTCAAGTGAATTGGTCCACAAGTAGCACAAGCTGCAAAGAAGCAATACATACAACAAAGGAAAAAGTAGGGAAGCTAGGTAATTCGTTTTTGTTTCTACTGTATATGTTTATTTAAATGAATCTTTCATCTTCATCTTTTTCCAATCTTATAACACAGCTAGTAACCAATGAAAAATGTTCATCGTCATAATAAATGCATTTTTAAGGTCAGATCAATGTGTTTTTCTTTTAAAATGAAAAAAAAATCATCATAAAAGCAAGTCATAATACAGAAGGGCTATTTTTAAAACACTAGAAGTCAAATTAATTACCAAACCAGACACATTGGTTTGCATGTATTGTGGGAGTACAGAATTTAGCAATACTACTGGAAATGCTTGGATTAATCTCCATAATAGCAAATGGGTGTGAAATGCACAATAGTCAAAATGTTGGATATAATTCAAGCATAGTAATATTTGGAAATCTCATATTGTTTTTGCAAATAACTAAAACTTTTTAAAATAAGTAGCACACAAAAACAATATTATTACATTTCATAATAATAAGTTTTCAAATCAGGCTTCCTCCCTGAGAAGGTTTTCATTAGATTTATAATAAAATTCACAAAATATATCTGTATAAAGGATAATATAAAGAAACATAAGTTACTGATTCCTATCCTTCAAATTCATGAAGGCAGATTCCTGGAGGTAAAAGAAGCATTATGGTATCTTAAAATCATGCTTTGGCAGGCTCAGTCACTTGATGAGGAGACATGAGGAACATTCACACGAGACTCTCGCAGCAGTCTAATGGAGAATACATTGATTCAAATTTTTGTGAAGTCCTGACACATATTTTATCTTTTATGATTTACTGATTTTACTGTATTTTGTTTGATTGCTGTGAAACTCTGAGTGTCAAGATACAAGTTTAATAAATTCTTATTATAATAGCATTGAAATGTTGCATATTCAAAGGTAAAGATAACCTCAAAATGCCTACGTACAAAAATGGCTCAAACTAAGTAAAGTCTTAATTGCATTTTATTAATTGCAGCATAAATCTATTAAAATGTTTCACCTTTTCTATTGTTTTCAGAAATACTTTGAAAATAGTGCTAATAAGAACTATTAGTACTGAGTAATAATTCTCAAATATTACCATGCTTGAATTTAAAACTAACACGAGCACAGATTATTTGCAAGTGATTATGTTGCTCATTTCACGCTTATTTGTTTTCTCATTATTTTATTGCAAAAGAAACAATTATGTAAAGTGGATATGTAAAGTGGAAAAGCATAATGAGTTTGTAATGAGATGATATTTAGTATTCTTATGCCTTCCTTAGTCATCCTTGGTAAAATAAATATCAAGTAGTGTCCACAACTGAGTTTACAAACTATAAGCTCCTTACAAGTTAACAATTCTAAACCACTAGGTAAATAACTCAAAGTGCTTAAGTATAAGCTATTTTTAAAAATTAAGAACAGAATCAAGAACCTCTTTAAAAAGTAATTCCTTTTATCCCCAAGGATATTAAGGAAATATAGTTTATTCATAGTAACAAGACAATTTTAAAGAGAAATGACATTATAAGTACTTTGAGCTCTGAATTACAAAGTTAATTCAGACAAATTCTCATCAGATGAATGAAGATTTAATCAGGTTTCACTGCCAATTACGCTGCTACACACTATGGTACAAATAGTATTTAATAGTCTAGTCTTGTTTGATGTGTGTAATGTTCTAATATTAGCATTTCAATTCTTATAGGATAAAACAAGCATTCCAGAATTCAAGATGTTTTTAACACCATATAAAATGACACCAATATTTTAAAAACAAAATAGGTAATTAGCTCCTCTCTGAGACATAGTATGAGAAAGCTCTTTCCAAACAAACAGAGGTTTAATTATTTTTTGTTTATATTCTTATCTGAAAGATGCAGAATATATATTTAATAATAATTTGGTATTTAATAAGGAAGTGAAGGAAGAAGACAAAGCAAGGGAGGAGGATTAAATTAGATTAATAATTTAAATAACACTATGGGTGGTAAAAAAAATCTCATGGTTGCAACTTATTGTTTTTATAGCCTTATATTTCTTAAGAAACAAAAGTCATCTTAGTAATGAAGATTTCATTTCAGTAATACAATTCTATAACATCTGTTGGATGATACTTATGGAAGGTTACATATATTATTTCTCAAAAAGCCTTCAAAAGAGGTATAACAGTGGCATATATCTATGAATGTATCTTTACTTCAAAGAAGTAAACTTTCAATAATATTGAATTGTGGAATGAATGCTTTTCTTTTTTCAAGAGACCAACTATTTTCCAGTTAAGACAGTTAAGGTTTTATGAGATTTGAGGCTTTTCCATATGTATTCAACATTGGATTTGCCAGGAAACCATTCAGGCACTGAAAAGATCAAGAGGCTTTTTTTTTTTTTAGCCAGAGGTTGGTTGACCTTTCATGGATTATTTGAATCTTAATTCTGCCAAATTGGTTTGATGGGTTTGTGTTTTGTTTGCCAATCTGCTCCCTGGCATAAGGAACTTTTGCAGCTTCTGATGACTCTTGAGCTTACTGTTCTCCTCTAGGACAGTTAACCATTTCTGAACTGATATTTTTTAGGAAATGAGCCTAAGAAACTGAAATGAATAGGTATAAAATAGTCCTTGGTTTAAAACTGTAATTAAGCCATGGACATAAATTGTGACAGTCATAAAGCAGGTCACCCACATAACTAACTTGATGTTTTGTGATGGACATCAAGCAAACGCTGCAGTTTTTAAGTGAAAGCTGTGGTCATTAAATAAATCCATTGTTCACCACAGGACATTTTTGCCTTAAACTTGAGAGACAGTTTTCAGCAAAGATGTTGTAAAATGTGACTGCAATCTTTGTTGTAAAAGGTCCATAAATGTGGCCCAGTTGCCAAGCACCCAAAATGTGGTCATGTGACTGCGGGGGAACAACTGTCAGAACTTTGGAACCGGATCATGAGTACCTTTTGGGAGACGGTCTCTGTCATAACTTTGAACAGCTAAGCAGCCGGTTGTAAGTCAAAGACAACCTACAATGAGTTTGTAGATTTCACTAACACACTGAAAAAAATACTCAACATTAAGTTCTTATTTCAAATATAAAATGGGTTGCCAAAATATGTACGTTCCTTAACCTTGACCGCTATAGTTGAGGGTTGAGAACTTGTCCTTCTTCATTATCGCCCACATACTGTACTAGTAACAACACAATAGCATTTACATATCAGGGTTGGTACAGAACAGATCAGACCTAGAGAACACACCTTGTCTGTCAGAACTCTGCCCAAAACTCAACTACAGGGACCTAAAGAAAAAGTTCAGGGTAATTATAGTTTTTTTAACCCTAAAATACAAAAAAGAAAAAAGAAACTTTGTAGAAATTTTAAAGCTAGGAGAAATATTTTTTTTTCATTCTTTTACCCAAACAGAAAATTGGAGGAAATGAGGATAGCATATTTGACATATTTCCGTATCTATTGTGGGAAAGTACCATGTTAGGCTATGAAGTCAGCTCATGAAAGCTTAAACCTTTGCATAAAATGTGCTATGGTAGATGAAAAACAGGCAACTAGAATCCCGATTTATTTATTGCCCTATCTAAAGTCAGACTGCCTTGCTATTTCAGCTATAAAATTGCAATATACACAATAGTTATAAAATCAGCATATATTGATATACTCTGTTTAAAAATGTGAATTCATGATAACAACTTGATGATGAATAAGGTAGCTGTGCTATAATATCAAATATTGATCAACCAATTATACTCAAATAAGGTGTAGAAATATATTTGTCTTTGAAAAAAGTAGTATAGAATGCTTTTTTCCAGCTGATTTGTGTTGTTCTGTTCTCTTGCAGATTTCAAAGCTAAACTCACAAAACCAGTTTCTTATAATTCCAAAACTTGCTTTGTCTTGTTGAGTAAGGAGGGCAATCACTTTCAGTCTTCTAATCTTTATCCAAATAGATGGCCTCTGTCCTTTACATCCAACTTCAAGTCCTTTTAGTTGAAAGAACAGAAAGTGATTTATCTGACTTTCTTTACAGTGGACAAGAGCCGATGTGCGAAATTGGAACTGAATCATCCTCTTTTTGCATGCAAAAATGGTAATGCCATTGGAACAATCTTATGTTACCAAATATGGCCTGTCCTCAACATAAGAACTGAAATAATACTGTGTAGAAAAATCTTACTGTTGCAGATTTTAGTGACCATGGGAAAGGAAGGGAAATTGCTTCATGTCTAAGGCAGGACTCGTGGTCTCTAGGTTTCTAACCTGATGCCTTAACCATTATAACAAACTGGCTCTTAAAATATATACACTGCTCAAAAAAATAAAGGGAACACTTAAACAACACAATGTAACTCCAAGTCAATCACACTTCTGTGAAATCAAACTGTCCACTTAGGTAGCAACACTGATTGACAATCAATTTCACAAATAGAATAGACAACAGGTGGAAAGCATAGGCAGTTAGCAAGACATCCCCAATAAAGGAGTGGTTCTGCAGGTGGTGACCACAGACCACTTCTCAGTTCCTATGCTTTCTGACTGATGGTTTGGTCACTTTTGAATGCTGGCGGTGCTTTCACTCTAGTGGTAGCATGAGACGGAGTCTACAACCCACACAAGTGGCTCAGGTAGTGCAGCTCATCCAGGATGGCACATCAATGCGAGCTGTGGCA